AAAAGACTGCACTACCAATATGCCGTACTTCGATATGACCTCTGTTAATGATATATACGCCAAATGTTCTGAAATGTGTGGGTTTCCATTGACCGTCCAGTCTCTGCAAGAACTAATGCAACTCGAACGACAGTTCACAGCGTTGGGTAGGTGAACGCTGGGTGATTTAAAATTTGTAAACTTGAGACATCCTGTGACATGGGTCGTGCATGACTTGCTTATACTTACCCAATCTTTGCCTGGTCGTCGAAGAAACGTTATTATTATTATTATTATTATTATTATTATTATTATTATTATTATGTTTTAGCGCCGTTTAACTGTACACAAGAGATGGCGACTACTGGTCAGGTGTCAGAGAATACCTCGGAGTACGCCGTGATCAAATATTTCCCCAGTTCCCAAGGTGAGGCTATTTATATCCATATATTTATATTTATATATATATATATATATATTTATTTATATCCATAAGCGCATTCAGAACAAATGATTCTCACACAAGCAGATTGAAATGGATATATATATACATTTATGTTTATTAATGTTGGCATTTATGTTCATTAATGTTGACATTAGGTATAATGTGTCTACCGTAACAATATTCCAGGCCAAATTGATTGGATCATCGACTTGCGCGACACGGAAATGACCTCCAGATTCATTAACCCACCAATCGAGGGAAGACATCTGAAGTTTGTATTCCAGAATCAAGAAATGCGTTTGGATTTCCCTGCGTCGATTTCTGGCCAAGCTATCTGTGATATGCCGTCTAATGCAACAGTTACGGCGTCTGCACGTACGTATAGACATGATATAGGACCAAAATACCATTAAAGTTGAGGGTTTGATAGCACTCGTTGAAGACTTGCATCTTCTGTCGAAGTTCCTAATATTGAAAAGCAATATGCTGTATGTACTGCTACTCCATAACAGGTTTTTTTAGTTTAAAAAGGAAAATCTTAGTTATTTATTATTTTACTTCACAAGCACTGATGTCAATAATGATGTTCTTAAAAATGTAAGTGATTTGTACGTAGACCGAGAAAACACAGAAAAAAGCAAAAAAATAAAAACAAAATTTGAAAACTACCATTTTCTCTTTTGCCAGCGGCGAAGTGTGTCATTGTTGGGGATCCCCACGTCACAAACTTAGATGGCAAACAACAATTACTGAATGCGGTGTGCAGGGTTATTTTATCAGAGACTTGTGTGCCTACCAAACCTGGCGAAGCGCCTCTCCAACCGTTCTCAGTTACCGGAAGAAACAGACCTATTAAGCCAGGCAGCTCCAGAACATACATAGAGGAACTCACATTTAAAATGTTTGCTACCACTGCTGATATTAATGTCAACGGAGATGTGAAGGTACGCCGTTGATAGTGGTAGTAGTTATCATTAGAGATTAAATAGAATGGGGAAAGGAATTGGAAGTGTTATATTCTATTCTGTTCTGTTCTGTTGTTCTATTCTGTTCTGTTATGTTCTATTCCCGTATTTATAATATTAATTTCTTCATCAAAGGTAAATGGCGTGAATCGGACAGCGACAACCGCCCGTGTATACATTGGCAATGGCTTGCAGCTCTATCTCGCCAGTTTAACTAGAGGAAACCATCAACACCCTGCCGTTTTTGTTGAGGCCCCCAATGGTCTGAAGGTTGCCCTTACCGTTCCTGAGGGGGGAAACTTTAAGCCAGGACATCATGCCGAAATAACTACCCCTGGTAAGGAGAGAGAGAGAGAGAGAGAGAGAGAGAGAGAGAGAGAGAGAATTGAAATAACTTAACACGAATTCAGAGGTCAATGTGGATAAAAGTAACCATGCAAAAGATATGGTTTTTACCGCCAAAAACGTTACTCATACTTGACAGTGGTGATTGCTGGCGTGTTTCTAAAGATATGTATAAATCTAATTTTTGTTTATTTATGTATTTGTTAGCGGAATATGCAGGCAAGCTTTGTGGGGTTTGTGGAAATTTCAATGGTGATCCGAATGACGATGACGAGGCTTGTTACGGACAATCTCCAGCAGACTGCGACATATGGCATCCATCGGATGGATCAAAGTAAGAGCCTCTCTCTCNTAATTTTTGTTTATTTATGTATTTGTTAGCGGAATATGCAGGCAAGCTTTGTGGGGTTTGTGGAAATTTCAATGGTGATCCGAATGACGATGACGAGGCTTGTTACGGACAATCTCCAGCAGACTGCGACATATGGCATCCATCGGATGGATCAAAGTAAGAGCCTCTCTCTCTCTCTCTCTCTCTCTCTCTCACACACACACACACACACACACACACACACAATTGTTTATCAAATTATAGAAGGTACCATTAAGTTATGTACAGTGATGCTTTGTTGTGAGTTCAGTTTGTTTTTATTATCTATAATCATGACCGATGACATATTGTTTCCTGCGCTTTGTCAAGTGACATGTGACACGGGATGTTGTGTCTGGTCTTGCGCAGGATTCATACATAAAATGTACAGAGAGAGAGAGAGAGCCCTTTCCCCCTCCCCGAAATAGAGAGTCCACTCTCCATTCATTGGTACAGGCAAACCTTGCCCTAGATTTTGACCCAATTAGGTCAGGCTAACCCTAACCATTATAATTATATGGAGGGCGGATTTTCTGTTACACGGACCCTCAGTTTCGTTACACCGGTATACACTCATTACATTGATTTACCTTTTTCAGTTGCCCAGCGTAATACCCAAACAGGGACCCAACCCGTATAACGGCCACGCCTTCACGATAGAACGGCTACGATATACGACAAATATACGAACTGAGAACAGACTACAACTAAGAACCTGGAGGACTACGGTTCTTGAATACAGTTAACAGGAGGTTTAATTAATGTTATATGGTGAACGACTATATCACTTGGCGGTGTTACTAAACTAGGCCTATATATATATTTCTCGTAAATGATATAGTTCATGGTGTTTCCTTAAATCGCTTGTTGTCCTTGTGAAATCGCTCAATTTGGTGGCTCTTTGGGGCGGCCTTAACATTTGTCCCTTGTTCAAAACCACTGCTTGTTGATCAATCGCGTTTGGTACGAACAAACAGGGCTTTACAGTTAGGTTAAGTTTAGAGTGATAAAAGTGTAGTGTGACTATGGGAAATACTAGTAATACAAATTCACCGAAGTAGTCGTCAGAAATCAATAGGAGAAGAAAACGTATGATGTCTTCTCAGGAGACTTGTGATATTTAGAAGGAGTAGGATTGATGGTCATCCTGGATCTGAACCATTTCTGAACCAACAAAACGAATATTTTTTTAATTAAATCAAATAACAAAGGAAATGGGAGCTTGTGGCACGTGAAATACAATGAGATATATAAGTGCTGCTATCGTCTTACTGTGTTTCAGACTTCAAGAAACGTCAAACTGCGTAGGTGGATTTAACACTATTATTGGGACACGAAGCTTTATACAAAGAGTATCTTAATATAAAAATTTGAAAGGTCGTTGTTTTTCCAGCTCTGTCAAATAACAGTTACTTTGTTGTTGGCTTTTATTGCTTTTGTTATTTTGCTTTTTTTGTGTAATTTAAAGAACTTGGACTCTGATTTTGTCTTGATACAGCTGGTGAACAATATGTTTCAAAACTGGATAGATTTGTTTCATATTATGCAAAGTTAAACTTCATAATACACGGGTCATTTAAGAATGTGGTCATTATTTGGTTTAATGTTTTTACACTTCATTTTGTTTGAAGCACGCCTCTTTTTAAGAGTGTGCAGTACGGATTTAATTGTTTAACAATGGCTTGTTCCATTTGCAGGAGGGTAATCTGCTGTCTTTGTAGATAAAAAGGAAATAAATGGATTATGAAATGAAATAATTTTATTATTTTTGTGATGACTTTACAAACATCCCTGTCGCTTCATTTTTATATATTCATTTATTCACGCAGGCTTGGAGGGGAGGGAGGCTAAAGTGCTCCCTTTCCGATATCTCTCTTTCTCAAGTGCCCTGTCCCGCTAGGGCGTTGGCGATCATGGACTTCCACCTCTTCTTGTCCTTTGTGGTCTTCAACAGTTCCGCTATTCCTGTCCATCTACTTATGCTTGCTGTGTAGTTTAATTTTTTGCCTGCCCCTACTTCGCTTTCCGTTGATCTTGTCTGTCACACTAAGATGTTTCAGCTCTTCCTTCCGCATTACGTGTCCCAGAAATTCCAACTGTCTCTTTCGTATGCCTTTTAGAAGGAAACGCTTTGTTCCTGCTCTCTCCAACACTTCTTGATTTGTCATTCTCTCTGTCCGAGATTTTTTCATCATTTTCCTGAGAAACCACATCTCTGCCGATTCTATTCGTTGTTCCATACCTTGGGATGTAGTACAGCATTCGCTACCATTCCGATATCACATATGATTAAAAAGTATTAATTGGGAAGTGAAAACTTTTCATAGGAATAAAAGGGAAAATATGGAATCAACGAATTACGAAATAACAGTCATTGATTAAAGGGATAATAACTCTTTGTTTTGGCCAAAAAATGAATTTTCCTGGAGTAAACAACAATCTTTCCGTACTTACCAATGGTTAATGAATCCATTTTTAATTACAAAGCTAGTTCCTGGTTTTTTTTCTAAAAAAAATGTTTTTTGTTATAATCTCTTAAGAGATTATAACAAAAAACATCTCTTAAGAGATTATAACAGAGTAAAGCCATCAATTGAGGTCACGTGGTCTAAAGACAAGCTCAGATATCAGAATAATAGCTATAACTGCCGATTTTCTTGTACAACAGAATGTATTATATTTCTATGAGTTGTTCACAATGATTTTATTGAGAAATATAGATCTCATACGAATAGTTATTATCCCTTTAAATGATGACGATCGGTCAATTCAAACTGAGTACTCATAATTTAAAAGAGAAAAGTGTCAGATACAATGCTAACTTCAGCTTCAGATATATATAAATATATATATTCTTAAATGATTCATTTTTTATCCAAAAAATGTTAGAATACCTGAATGTGTAGAAATTTTCAACTGCTCTTTACTGTAGTCTTCCTCAGTGCTATTGTTTGACCACTAAGTGCAAACTCAAGGGGACTTGCCACCCTGAATGTAAATGTACGTTGCAACAGATGTGTCGGATCACCCAGCCCCTCAAGCACAATAAAGAAAAGCAATATAAACCTGGCAGTTTTTTTCTGTCGTGCACTGTGTTCTCTAAATATATCTGCCTGGTACTGTGTTTTTGGAGTTCACGATCCTGCACAGAAAACTTACTATGTTATGTAGTGCTTCAGTTAAGGAGTTGTCGTTTGGATTCAAAGGGATGAAAGGCAGATAAAGACCACCTGTAGGCTTTGTCAAGAGTTTAGGGTTTTGGATGGGCGTGTCCAGTGCGACAATTTTGGGATCATGTAAAGAAAGGGAGTTGTGGAGATCCATGATGGTCAACCTCCTGCAATGACAAATACTGAGAGGGAGGGAGAGAGGGAGGGAGAGAGACTTTAGTACACAGACGTATGCAGGCCTCTAATACCTCAGTAGAATTAACGCACCGTGAGGAGATAAATTCACTGTCTGTCACCAAGTGTGATAAATGGAAAATCAGCATTCAGCATACCAATGATGCAACCGTATATCGTAGCGTTGAACGTCATAATTCTGTACTCCACAATCAGAAGCATCTGTTGCTACTGGTAAATGTTTAAATGTTTTACTGAGAGGCGCCTTACATTGTATTCTGCCAGGCAAACATGATGAGCAAAGCTAGGTCGATTTTGAAATCTTCTCCCAGCTCACACAGAACTTTTGGACAACTTAACCAAAGGGTAATATATATATATATATATATATATATATATATATATATATATATATATATATATATATAACCGATATATATATATATATCGGTTAGACCACCAGCAAACTATAAGAAAACATTCTTCACTGTCACTGTTATTATCACTGACCCTAGAACATTGCCGTTATTTATACACACAATCGACTAAAAAAAATCCGAAAAGGTAAATTTTAAAACCAAATATTGAGAGATAATGCACCCACCATTATTTAGTTCTTGAAATTGTGGCAGGAAATGAATTATGTAGGAATTACAGCAACATTTGACAGTTGGGGCGCAGTAAAATTTATGTACTAGTACCTGACGACCGTCAAACGGCATACGGTTATTAAAAATGTATAGATTCTTAAGAGCCGAAAAGTGGTTTGACATAACAACAACAACAAAAGTTGCTTGGTTTACTAATGATCCCATGTAATAAACCTAGTAGTGTAGGTAGATAGTGTTAGAGATCGAGATCAGTCAGTTAGGAGTTGATCTATGTGCATTTTACAACGCCATTGTGGACAACAACAACAACAACAACAAAAATTGCTTGGTTTACTAATGATTCCATGTAATAAACCTAGTAGTGTAGGTACATAGTGTTAGAGATCGAGATCGAGATCAGTCAGTTAGGAGTTGATCTGTGCATTTTACATTGTGGACAATAAGAACAACAACAACAATAACAACAACAACAGTAATAATAATAATAATAATAATAATAATAATAATAATAATAATAATAAATGCAAAGTCATTTTATAAGGCATATTGGTAGTGCAGTCTTTTACACCTGAGCGATAACACAGGTAGTCAAAACTGTCAGCATATGGGTAGCTGCCGTCCCCGCATTCTGAACCTAAAATAAGGAAAATATACGTAGCTTTTGACACATTGGTTCATGGCGTTTGTATGTTAAAATATGATCAAGTGTTTATAAGGAATAAAAAAGAGTCGGTCAGAAATGGTTGTTGTTGAAGGAAATCTGTTACTGCTCATGACTCACAGTAGGTAAGGTTTAGAACTGATAAATTATGTAATGTACTGGCGACTACCAAACGGCAGACTGTGATTTAAGATGTACACATGTACACTGTTCCTAGACGCCACCTGATGCACTATAAAGCCACAATCAGATCATCTTTACAGTTATTCCTGCTAGAAGGCTGGGGATATTTCAGTTTGTGTTGGACATATAGAACTGTTGCCACCGTTTTGCTGCTACCTGCCTGAGTGAACCAGACCTGTAAGTACTGCTATTACCTGTGGAAGCATGGTCGTATAAATACCAAAAGTTTGAAGTGGTTAACGAATTTCGTTATTTGGGTGTCACACTAAATCATGAAGGTAGGTTTCACAAAGCTCAAAGCAATTGGGATTAGTTTGTGAAATAGGTGTAGGGCCTTGAGTTTTTGAACATTACCGATATATTCCTGTTTGATACAGTACATTGTGTCTCGCCATGGAAGTGAAAATTGGGGTCACAATACATACATACAGTGTTGACATTTAATGCAGAATATTTTATTTTGAAAGTTGTCTAGGTAAAAGTGTAAATTATATTTCTGCCTTGTCTGTATTACTGCTGCATTACGTAATGCATGATGATTTCTTTGTGTAGTGCTCCTTGGGCTAGTCCAAGTATGACTATGGCAGAGCATGGTTATGCCCAAAAAGTCCCAATATTTCGGCAATGACTGGACATTCTTAAATTTTGCATTTATAAAAGCAGTGAATGCTAAAGAGCGTAAACTGAGCGAAGGAATTAAAGTGTTACAGCATTGTTGCTCTGCAATGCTACGGCTGAAAACAGACAGACATTGTCAGACAGGTTTTTGTGTCGCAGAGAACGCTCCACACGCATATAAGACATTGGATTGAGTTCAGCTAGAGAACAATTTTGGCATGCAACAAACAGCTACGTTAATTCTGCAGCATGCATGTACCTTTGGCATCAGACAAGATTTCAAAATTTAAAAATCCCCGAGAACACAGTAATCATGACAAATTAATTTTCTACCAAAGTTTTCAATTTTTTTTGGTCAGATATTTATGAAATATTTTAGATCAATGGAAGAAGGAGTGCGAAATGAGAACAATCATCAACTCATGAAAATGAATATTATTATGTTAAAAAAAGCATTTCAAGAGAATTAAAACAAAGTGGCGAACGATAGCGTTTTTGGATACCACTTATCAAATTATCGTAATTGTTTGCAAGTTTATAAAATAATAACAGATATAATGAATAAATTCCGAGCGGATTTATTATTAGAACATTCATAATCAAAATTTCAAAATTTACGGCAGTTGTATGGACTTTTGGAAGAAAGTTGGAAAGACATACCAATGCTGGTGAATTTTAAAAATATGTGTCATTATCTTGTGGTCTAGTGGTATAAGGCAGAATTTATATTGTAAACATTTATAATCATCCACCCCGGGCAGGTGCACTAAAATTTCACAATGTCCATGCACATCCCAGTTGAAAGGTTTATCAATCCCCCGAAAAAAAACCCCGGTGGTTGCCGGCATCGTTTTATTTCATACATTTTTAAGCGGCACTAGTTTTTCATTCTATAATACAGGTGTCTGCTACGATCTTCAAAACCCGTGTTTATATTTTGAGGAAGACACGTCCAGCTTATCGGCCTGTAAACCATGACGAGTTACTCTATTGGTTTTATTTTGACAGTCGCCATGATGCCAGCCAGAGTGGTTTCCCAAGGTTAGTTACCAGTTTTTTTATAGATAGAAATTCAGTTTTTTAATAGAAAGCAACAACCCGAAATGTAAAAAAAGGAATGGTGTTAAAATTAATTTTGTTACGAGGCATTATATACGCTCTAGTGCACGTGTCGGTTTGTATTTGGAAGGATACACCGGTAAGCTAACGGGCTTTTGTTCTGGTACCAGTGGCTACATAAGCGGTTTGAAATACATTTATCATGTCCATGCACTCTACTGCTTTATTGAAAGCTTCACTCAAGGATTGTTCGACGGGAATGACAAACGTGCTCCAAAAAGTTCTTGGATGTGAACTTTTCTAAGGGCAGCTTGTTTTTTTCCCGCAGATTATATAAAATTGGGTTGCTGGGCTGACACGTCAAACCGGGCCATCCCTACTTTAGAAGGTAAAGATCCCATCCTTGACGGGAGCTACAGGGCACGAAGGAACGCAATCGAGAAATGCTACCAAGCTGCAAGGAAACGCGGGTACAAATATTTTGCCCTACAGCACAGTGGATGGTGTGCCTCTTCCTGCAACGCTGGGCAGACATATATGAAATATGGACCTTCTACTCATTGCCAAGCAGATGGAGAAGGTGGACCATGGGCCAACCAACTTTACCAAATTACTGGCGGTAGGTGTTTTGGCACGTTTAACGTAGGTAACCAAAAGACAAATCTTTTGGGTTGATATTCACGATTGAAACTAACAATTTCAAGGCATTTAAAGAAACCTGTTATCCTAGCTGTTTTTGGTAACTTGACATTGACAACAACTAAAGTGCACCGAGTCCGCTTGGACAAAAAGCCTGCATGTATGTTACAATGACACTATTTAGCAAGCTGTTAAATCTTTACCTAAAACAGTTAACGAATTAGGGTTGAAAACAAAAATTGATACCAGAATCTTTTGAAACGATAGAATTGTTGCAATATTTCATTATTTATGGAATTGGGTATACAACGAAAAGTACTATAGGCATAATAGAATTTGTACCCCAGCATTATGACTGTGTGTGTGTGTGTGTGTGTGTGTGTGTGTGTGTGTAATTTAACGTAGGTAACCACAAAACAAAAACTTTTGGTCGTCGCTGCAGGGGACCAATATATATATATATATATATATATATATATATATAATCTTAACTTATAAATCTAAACTTATAAATCTAAATCTTTTATCTTTTGACAAGGTGAGGAACACACATTAGATACACAAGCCACTTTTTGTTGCTCTTGTCTCAGGTGGGGAGACACTTGATCATATTTTAACATACAAACGCCATGAACCAATGTGTCAAAAGCTACGTATATTTTCCTTATTTTAGGTTCAGAATGCGGGGACGGCAGCTACCCATATGCTGATAGTTTTGACTACCTGTGTTATCGCTCAGGTGTAAGAGACTGCGCTACCAATATGCCGTACTTCGATATGACCTCTGTTAATGATATAAACGCCAAATGTTCTGAAATGTGTGGGTTTCCATTGACCGTCCAGTCTCTGCAAGAACTAATGCAACTCGAACGACAGTTCACAGCGTTGGGTAGGTGAACGCTGGGTGATTTATAATTTGTAAACTTGAGACATCCTGTGACATGGGTCGTGCATGACTTGCTTATACTTACCCAATCTTTGCCTGGTCGTCGAAGAAACGTTATTATTATTATTATTATTATTATTATTATGTTTTAGCGCCGTTTAACTGTACACAAGAGATGGCGACTACTGGTCAGGTGTCAGAGAATACCTCGGAGTACGCCGTGATCAAATATTTCCCCAGTTCCCAAGGTGAGGCTATTTATATCCATATATTTATATTTATATATATATATATATATATTTATATCCATAAGCGCATTCAGAACAAATGATTCTCACACAAGCAGATTGAAATGGATATATATATATACATTTATGTTTATTAATGTTGGCATTTATGTTCATTAATGTTGACATTAGGTATAATGTGTCTACCGTAACAATATTCCAGGCCAAATGGATTGGATCATCGACTTGCGCGACACGGAAATGACCTCCAGATTCATTAACCCACCAATCGAGGGAAGATATCTGAAGTTTGTGTTCCAGAATCAAGAAATGCGTTTGGATTTCCCTGCGTCGATTTCTGGCCAAGCTATCTGTGATATGCCGTCTAATGCAACAGTTACGGCGTCTGCACGTACGTATAGACATGATATAGGACAAAAATACCATTAAAGTTGAGGGTTTGATAGCACTCGTTGAAGACTTGCATCTTCTGTCGAAGTTCCTAATATTGAAAAGCAATATGCTGTATGTACTGCTACTCCATAACAGGTTTTTTTAGTTTAAAAAGGAAAATCTTAGTTATTTATTATTTTACTTCACAAGCACTGATGTCAATAATGATGTTCTTAAAAATGAAAGTGATTTGTACGTAGACCGAGAAAACACAGAAAAAAGCAAAAAAATAAAAACAAAATTTGAAAACTACCATTTTCTCTTTTGCCAGCGGCGAAGTGTGTCATTGTTGGGGATCCCCACGTCACAAACTTAGATGGCAAACAACAATTACTGAATGCGGTGTGCAGGGTTATTTTATCAGAGACTTGTGTGCCTACCAAACCTGGCGAAGCGTTTCTCCAACCGTTCTCAGTTACCGGAAGAAACAGACCTATTAAGCCAGGCAGCTCCAGAACATACATAGAGGAACTCACATTTAAAATGTTTGCTACCACTGTTGATATTAATGTCAACGGAGATGTGAAGGTACGCCGCTGAGAGAGGTAGTAGTTATCGTTAGAGATTAAATAGAATGGGGACAGGAATTGGAAGTGTTCTATTCTATTCTGTTCTGTTCTGTTATGTTCTATTCCCATATTTATAATATTAATTTTTTCATCAAAGGTAAATGGCGTGAATCGGACAGCGACAACCGCCCGTGTATACATTGGCAATGGCTTGCAGCTCTATCTCGCCAGTTTAACTATCGGAAATCATCAACACCCTGCCGTTTTTGTTGAGGCCCCCAATGGTCTGAAGGTTGCCCTTACCGTTCCTGAGGGGGGAAACTTTAAGCCAGGACATCATGCCGAAATAACTACCCCAGGTAAGGAGAGAGAGAGAGAGAGAGAGAGAGAGAGAATTGAAATAACTTAACACGAATTCAGAGGTCAATGTGGATAAAAGTAACCATGTAAAAGATATGGTTTTTCCGCCAAAAACGTTACTCATACTTGACAGTGGTGATTGCTGGCGTGTTTCTAAAGATATGTATAAATCTAATTTTTGTTTATTTATGTATTTGTTAGCGGAATATGCAGGCAAGCTTTGTGGGGTTTGTGGAAATTTTAATGGTGATCCGAATGACGATGACGAGGCTTGTTACGGACAATCTCCAGCAGACTGCGACATATGGCATCCATCGGATGGATCAAAGTAAGAGCCTCTCTCTCTTTCTCTCTCTCTCTCTCTCTCTCACACACACACACACACACACCCAATTGTTTATCAAATTATAGAAGGTACCATTAAGTTATGTACAGTGATGCTTTGTTGTGAGTTCAGTTTGTTTTTATTATCTATAATCATGACCGATGACATATTGTTTCCTGCGCTTTGTCAAGTGACATGTGACACGGGATGTTGTGTCTGGTCTTGCGCAGGATTCATACATAAAATGTACACAGAGAGAGAGAGAGCCCTTTCCACCTCCCCGAAATAGATAGTCCACTCTCCATTCATTGGTACAGGTAAACCTTGCCCTAGATTTTGACCCAATTAGGTCAGGCTAACCCTAACCATTATAACTAAATGGAGGGCGAACTTTCTGTTACACGGACCCTCAGTTTCGTTACACCGGTATTCACTCATTACATTGATTTACCTTTTTCAGTTGCCCAGCGTAATACCAAAACAGGGACCTAACCCGTATAACGGCCACGCCTTCACGATAGAACGGCTACGATATACGACAAACATACGAACTGAGAACAGACTACAACTGAGAACCTGGAGGACTACGGTTCTTGAATACAGTTAACAGGAGGTTTAATTAATGTTATATGGTGAACGACTATATCACTTGGCGGTGTTACTAAACTAGGCCTATATATATATTTGTCGTAAATGATATAGTTGATGGTGTTTCCTTAAATCGCTTGTTGTCCTTGTGAAATCGCTCAATTTGGTGGCTCTTTGGGGCGGCCTTAACATTTGTCCCTTGCTCAAAACCACTGCTTGTTGATCAATCGCGTTTGGTACGAACAAACAGGGCTTTACAGTTAGGTTATTAAGTTTAGAGTGATAAAAGTGTAGTGTGACTATGGGAAATACTAGTAATACAAATTCACCGGAGTAGTCGTCAGAAATCAATAGGAGAAGAAAACGTATAATGTCTTCTCAGGAGACTTGTGATATTTAGAAGGAGTAGGATTGATGGTCATCCTGGATCTGAACCATTTCTGAACCAACAAAACGAATATTTTTTTTAATTAAATCAAATAACAAAGGAAATGAGAGCTTGTGGCACGTGATATACAATGAGATATATTAGTGCTGCTATAGTCTTACTGTGTTTCAGACTTCAAGAAACGCCAAACTGCCTAGGTGGATTTAACACTATTATTGGGACACGAAGCTTTATACAAAGAGTATCTTAATATAAAAATTTGAAAGGTCGTTGTTTTTCCAGCTCTGTCAAATAACAGTATCTTTGTTGTTGCCTTTTAATTGCTTTTGTTATTTTGCTTTTTTTGTGTAATTTAAAGAACTTGGACTCTGATTTGGTCTTGATACAGCTGGTGAATAATATGTTTCATAACTGGATAGATTTGTTTCATATTATGCAAAATTAAAGTTAATAATACACGGGTCATTTAAGAATGTAGTCATTATTTGGTTTGATGTTTTTACACTTCATTTTGTTTGAAGCACGCCTCTTTTTAAGAGTGTGCAGTACGGATTTAATTGTTTAACAATGGCTTGTTCCATTTGCAGGAGGGTAATCTGCTGTCTTTGTAGATAAAAAGGAAATAAATGGTTTATGAAATGAAATAATTTTATTATTTTTGTGATGACTTTACAAACATCCCTGTCGCTTCATTTTTATATATTCATTTATTCACGCAGGGTTGGAGGGGAGGGAGGTTAAAGTGCTCCCTTTCCGATATCTCTCTTTCTCAAGTGCCCTGTCCCGCTAGGGCGTTGGCGATCATGGACTTCCACCTCTTCTTGTCCTTTGTGGTCTTCAACAGTTCTCGGTACGCTATTCCTGTCCATCTACTTATGCTTGCTGTGTATTTTAATTTTTGCCTGCCCCTGCTTCGCTTTCCGTTGATCTTGCCTGTCACACTAAGATGTTTCAGCGCTTCCTTCCGCATTACGTGTCCCAGAAATTCCAACTGTCTCTTTCGTATGCCTTTTAGAAGGAAACGCTTTGTTCCTGCTCTCTCCAACACTTCTTGATATGTCATTCTCTCTTTCGAGATATTTTCATCATTTTCCTGAGGAACCACATCTCTGCTGATTCTATTCGTTGTTCCATACCTTGGGATGTAGTACAGCATTCGCTACCATTCCGATATCACATATGATTAAAAAGTATTAATTGGGAAGTGAAAACTTTTCATAGGAATAAAAGGGAAAATATTGAATCAACGAATTACGAAATAACAGTCATTGATTAAAGGGATAATAACTCTTTGTTTTGGCCAAAAAATGAATTTTCCTGGAGTAAACAACAATCTTTCAGTACTCACCAATGGTTAATGAATCCATTTTTAATTTCAGAGGTAGTTCCTGGTTTTTTTTTCTAAAAAATTGTTTTTTGTTATAATCTCCTAAGAGATTATAACAGAGTAAAGCCATCAATGGAGGTCACGTGGTCTAAAGACAAGCTCAGATATCAGAATAATAGCTATAACTGCCGATTTTCTTGTACAACAGAATGTATTATATTTCTATGAGTTGTTCACAATGATTTTATTGTGAAATATAGATATCATACGAAGAGTTATTATCCCTTTAAATGATGATAATTTAAAAGAGAAAAGTGTCAGATACAATGCTAACTTCAGCTTCAAATATAGTCTTAAAAGATACATTTTTTTATCCAAAAGATGTTAAAATACCTGAATGTGCAGAAATTTTCAACTGCTCTTTACTGCAGTCTTCCTCAGTGCTATTGTTTGACCACTAGGTGGAGTTGTGGTAAAAACAAAGTGCAAACTCAAAGGGACGTGCCACCCTGAATGTAAATGTACGTTGCAACAGATGTGTCTGATCACCCAGCCCCTCAAGCACAATAAAGAAAAGCAATATAAACCTGGCAGTTTTTTCTGTCGTGCACTGTGTTCTCTAAGTATATCTGCCTGGTACTGTGTTTTTAGAGTTCACGATCCTGCACAGAAAACTTACTATGTTATGTGGTGCTTCAGTTAAGGAGTTGTCGTTTGGATTCAAAGGGATGAAAGGCAGATAAAGACCACCTGTAGGTTTTGTCAAGAGTTTAGGGTTTTGGATGGGTGTGTCCGGTGTGACTATTTTGGGATCATGTAAAGAAAGGGAGTTGTGGAGGTCCATGATGGCCAACCTCCTGCAAGGGCAAGATACTGAGAGAGAGAGAGAGAGAGAGAAACTTAAGTACACACACGTATACATGTCCCTAATACCTCAGTAGAATTAATGCACCGTGAGGAGATAAATTCACTGTCTGTCACCAAGTATGAATAATAGACAGTGAACATCCAACATGCCAAAGATGTATCATGACGTGGTAGCGTTGAACGTCATTAAGTCTGTACTCCACAATCAGAAGCATCTGTTGCTTCTGGTAAATGTTTAAATGTTTTACAGAGAGGCGCCTTACACTGTATTCTGCCAGACAAACATGATGAGCAAAGCTAGGTCAATTTTGAAATCTTCTCCCAGCTCACACAGAACTTTTGGACAACTTAACCAAAGGGTAAAATATATATATATATATATATATATATATATATATATATATATATATATATATATATATATATCGGTTAGACCACCAGCAAACTATAAGAAATCATTCTTCACTGTCACTGTTATTATCATTGACCCTAGAACATTGCCGTTATATATACACACAATCGACTAAAAAAAAATCCGAAAAATTGTTATTTTGAATAATCATAAAACAACCATATGAGCTAAGGTAAAATTTAAACCGAATATTGAGATATAATGCACCCACCATTATTTACTTCTTGAAATTGTGGCAGCAAATGAATTATGTGGTACTTACATCAAGCATTTGACAGTTGGGGCGCAGTAAAATTTATGTGCTAGTACCTGACGACCGTCAAACGGCATACGGTTATTAAAAATGTATAGATTCTTAAGAGCCCAAAAGTGGTTTGACATAACAACAACAACAACAACAACAAAAGTTGCTTGGTTTACTAATGATACCATGTAATAAACCTAGTAGTGTAGGTAGATAGTGTTAGAGATCGAGATCGAGATCAGTCAGTTAGGAATTGATCTGTGCATTTTACATCGCCATTGTGGACAACAACAACAACAACAACAATAACAACAACAACAACAACAGTAATAATAATAATAAAAATAATAATAATTATAATAATAATAATAATAATAATTATAATAATAAATGCAAAGTCATTTTATAAGGAATAAAAAAGAGTCGGTGAGAAATGGTTGTTGTTGAAGGAAATCTGATAAATTATGTAATGTACTGGCGACTACCAAACGGCAGATTGCGATTTAAGATGTACACATGGCGTGGGTTAATCTGTTCCTAGACACCACCTGATGCACTATAAAGCCACAATCAGATCATCTTTACAGTTATTCCTGCTAGAACGCTGGGGATATTTCAGTTTGTGTTGGACATATAGAACTGTTGCCACCGTTTTGCTGCTACCTACCTGAGTGAACCAGACCTGTAAGTACTGCTATTACCTGTGGAAGCATGGTCGTATAAATACCAAAAGTTTGAAGTGGTTAACGAATTTCGTTATTTGGGAGTCACACTAAATCATGAAGGTAGGTTTCACAAAGCTCAAAGTAATTGGGATTAGTTTGTGAAATAGGTGTAGGGCCTTGAGTTTTTGAACATTACCGATATATTCCTGTTTGATACAGTACATTGTGTCTCGCCATGGAAGTGAAAATTGGGGTCACAAAACATACATACAGTGTTGACATTTAATGCAGAATATTTTATTTTGAAAGTTATGTCTAGGTAAAAGTGTAAATTATATTTCTGCCTTGTCTGTGTTACTGCTGCATTACGTAATGCGTGATGATTTCTTTGTGTAGTGCTCCTTGGGCTAGTCCAAGTATGACTATGGCAGAGCATGGTTATGCCCAAAAAGTCCCAATATTTCGGCAATGACTGGACATTCTTAAATTTTGCATTTATAAAAGCAGTGAATGTTAAAGAGCGTAAACTGAGCGAAGGAAAGTGTTACATCATTGTTGCTCTGCGATGCTACGGCTGAAAACAGACAGACATTGTCAGACAGGTTTTTGTGTAGCAGAGAACGCTCCACACGCATATAAGACATTGGATTGAGTTCAGCTAGAGAACAATTTTGGCATGCGACAAACAGCTACGTTAATTCTGCAGCATACATGTGCCTTTGGCATTAGACAAGATTTCAAAATTTAAAAATCCCCGAGAACACAGTAATAATGACAAATTAATTTTCTACCAAAGTTTTCAATTCTTTTTGGTCAGATATTTATGAAATATTTTAGATCAATGGAAGAAAGAGTGCGAAATGAGAACAATCATCAACTCATGAAAATGAATATTATTATGTTAAAAAAAGCATTTCAAGAGAATTCAAACAAAGTGGCGAACGATAGCGTTTTTGGATACCACTTATCAAATTATCTTAATTGTTTGCAAGTTTATAAAATAATAACAGATATAATGAATAAATTCCGAGCGGATTTATTATTAGAACATTCATAATCAAAATTTCAAAATTTACGGCAGTTGTATGGACTTTTGAAAGAAAGTAGTTGGAAAGACTTACCAACGCTGGTAAATTTTAAAAATATGTGTCGTTATCTTGTGGTTTAGCGGTATAAGGCAGAATTTATATAGTAAACATTTATAATCATCCACCCTAGGGCAAGTGCACTAAAATTTCACAATGTTCATGCACATCCCAGTTGAAAGGTTTATCAATCCCCCGAAAATAAAAACCGGTGGTTGCCGGCATCGTTTTATTTCATACATTTTTAAGCGGCACTATTTTTTCATTCTATAATACAGGTGTCTGCTACGATCTTCAAAACCTGTGTTTATATTTTGAGGAAGACACGTCCAGCTTATCGGCCTGTAAACCATGAAGAGTTACTCTATTGGTTTTATTTTGACAGTCGCCATGATGCCAGCCAGAGTGGTTTCCCAGGGTTAGTTACCAGTTTTTTTATAGATAGAAATTCAGTTTTTTAATAGAAAGCAACAACCCGAAATGTAAAAAAAGGAATGGTGTTAAAATTAATTTTGTTACAAGGCATTATATACGCTATAGAGCACGTGTCGGTTTGTATTTGGAAGGAAACATCGGTAAGCTAACGGGCTTTTGTTCTGCTACCAGTGGCTACATTAGCGGTTTGAAATACATTTATCATGTCCATACACCCTACCGCTTTATTGAAAGCTTCACTCAAGGATTGTTCGACGGGGATGACAAACGTGCTCCAAAAAGTTCTTGGATGTGAACTTTTCTAAGGGCAGCTTGTTTTTTTCCCGCAGATTATATAAAATTGGGTTGCTGGGCTGACACGTCAAACCGGGCCATCCCTACTTTAGAAGGTAAAGATCCCATCCTTGACGGGAGCTACAGGGCACGAAGGAACGCAATCAAGAAATGCTACCAAGCTGCAAGGAAACGCGGGTACAAATATTTTGCCCTACAGCACAGTGGATGGTGTGCCTCTTCCTGCAACGCTGGGCAGACATATATGAAATATGGACCTTCTACTAATTGCCAAGCAGATGGAGAAGGTGGACCATGGGCCAACCAACTTTACCAAATTACTGGCGGTAGGTGTTTTGGCACGTTTAACGTAGGTAACCAAAAGACAAATCTTTTGGGTTGATATTCACAATTGAAACTAACAATTTCAAGGCATTTAAAGAAACCTGTTATCCTAGCTGTTTTTGGTAACTTGACATTGACAACAACTAAAGTGCACCGAGTCCGCTTGGACAAAAAGCCTGCATGTATGTTACAATGACACTATTTAGCAAGCTGTTAAATCTTTACCTAAAACAGTTAACGAATTAGGGTTGAAAACAAAAATTGATACCAGAATCTTTTGAAACGATAGAATTGTTGCAATATTTCATTATTTATGGAATTGGGTATACAACGAAAAATACTATAGGCATAATAGAATTTGTACCCCAGCATTATGACTGTGTGTGTGTGTGTATGTGTGTGTGTGTGTGTGTGTGTGTGTGTAATTTAACGTAGGTAACCACAAAACAAAAACTTTTGGGTCGTCGCTGCAGGGGACCAATATATATATATATATAATCTGAACTTATAAATCTAAACTGACCTTCTTTTATCTTTTGACAAGGTGTAGGAACACACATTAGATACACAAGCCACTTTTTGTTGCTCTTGTCTCAGGTGGGGAGACACTTGATCATATTTTAACATACAAACGCCATGAACCAATGTGTCAAAAGCTACGTATATTTTCCTTATTTTAGGTTCAGAATGCGGGGACGGCAGCTACCCATATGCTGATAGTTTTGACTACCTGTGTTATCGCTCAGGTGTAAGAGACTGCACTACCAATATGCCGTACTTTGATATGACCTCTGTTAATGATATATACGCCCGATGTTCTGAAATGTGTGGGTTTCCATTGGCCGTCCAGTCTCCGCAAGAACTAATGCAACTCGATCGACAGTTCACAGCGTTGGGTAGGTGAACGCTGGGTGATTTATAATTTATAAACTTGAGACATCTCCTGTAACATGGACCATGCATGACTTGCTTATACTTACCCAATCTTTGCCTGGTCGTCGAAGAAACGTTATTATTATTATTATTATTATTATTATTATTATTATTATGTTTTAGCGCCCTCGTTTAACTGTACACAAGAGATGGCGACTACTGGTCAGGTGTCAGAGAAAACCTCGGAGTACGCCGTGATCAAATATTTCCCCAGTTCCCAAGGTGAGGATATTTATGTCCACATATTTATATTTATATATATATATTTATATCCATAAGCGCATTCAGAACAAATGATTCTCACGCAAGCAGATTGAAATGGATATATATATATATACATTTATGTTTATTAATGTTGGCATTTATGTTCATTAATGTTGACATTAGGTATAATGTGTCTATCGTAACAATATTCCAGGCCAAATGGATTGGATCATCGACTTGCGCGACACGGAAATGACTTCCAGATTCATTAACTCACCAATCGTGGGAAGATATCTGAAGTTTTTTTTCAAGAATCAAGAAATGCGTTTGGATTTCCCTGCGTCGATTTCTGGCCAAGCTCTCTGTGTTATGCCGTCTAATGCAACAGTTACGGCTTCAGCAGGTGCGGTTTGAGCGACTAAAGACACGATATAGAACTAAAATTCAATCAAAGTTGAGGGTTTTGATAGCACTCGTCGAAGACTTGCATCTACTGTCGAAGTTCCTAATATTGAAAAGCAATATGCTGTATGTTCTGCTATTCCAGCACAGGATTTTTTCAGTTTAAAAAGAAAATCGTAGTCATCTATTATTTTACTACACAAGCACTGATGTCAATAATATTGTTCTTAAACATGAAATGAAGTTTTTCGGATTGCAAGTAGACCGAGAAAACACAGAAAAAAAGCAAATAAATAAAAACAAAATTTGAAAACTACCATTTTCTCTTTTGCCAGCGGCGCAGTGTGTCATTGTTGGGGATCCCCACGTCACAAACTTAGATGGCAAACAACTATTACTGAATGCGGTGTGCAGGGTTATTTTATCAGAGACTTGTGTGCCTACCAAACCTGGCGAAGCGCCTCTCCAACCGTTCTCAGTTACCGGAAGAAACAGACCTATTAAGCCAGGCAGCTCCAGAACATACATAGAGGAACTCACATTTAAAATGTTTGCTACCACTGCTGATATTAATGTCAACGGAGATGTGAAGGTACGCCGCTGAGAGTGGTAGTAGTTATCATAAGAGATTAAATAGAATGTGGACAGGAATTGGAAGTGTTATATTCTATTCTGTTCTGTTCTGTTGTTCTTTTCTGTTCTGTTATGTTCTATTCCCGTATTTATAATATTAATTTCTTCATCAAAGGTAAATGGCGTGAATCGGACAGCGACAACCGCCCGTGTATACATTGGCAATGGCCTGGAGCTCTATCTCGGCAGTTTAACTACAGGAAACCATCAACACCCTGCTGTTTTTGTTGAGGCGATCAATGGTGTGAAGGTTGCCCTTACCGTTCCTGAGGGTGGAAACTTTAAGCCAGGACATCATGCCGAAATTACTACCCCAGGTAAGGAGAGAGAGAATCGAAATAACTTAACACGAATTCAGAGGTCAAGGTGGATAAAAAATAATCGTGTTATAGAATTGGTTTCACCGTCAAAAACGCAACTCGTGCTAGCCAGTGATGAGTGCTGGCGTATTTCAAAACATATATGTGAATCTAATTTTTGTTTTTTATACATTTGTTAGCTGAATATGCCGGCAAGCTTTGTGGGGTTTGTGGAAATTTCAATGGTGATCCGAATGACGATGACGAGGCTTGTTACGGACAATCTCCAGCAGACTGCGGAATATGGCATCCATCGGATGGATCAAAGTAAGAGCCTCCTCTCTCTCTCTCTCTCTCTCTCTCTCTCACACACACACACACACACCATGATGCACGCATTTGTTAATCAAATTATGAAAAGAAGGTAACATTAAAGTCATAATAACTGTTCGATTGGCCAAAAATTGGATTTTTCTGGAGTAAACGGCAATTTTCCCGTACTTACCAATGGTCAACGACCCATTCCTGCATTCAAAGTTAGTTCAGGTTTTTTCCTAAACGTTTGGTCTTTTGTTTAAATCTCTTAAGATCTCATTAAGATTTTAACTGACGGAGCCCTTTCTGACATTGCATAGTCACGCGATATCGAGCGATATTTTCTGGAGACCTACTTAAAACCGCGGTAAAAGCAGATAACAACAACACTATATAAAAATAATATAAGATTCATAACATATATTTGTCTTGTTGTTCAAAATGCATTTATATCTACAATGTGTGCAGTTCTGGGCTTTTCGTTATCCGACGCACTGTACAAAAACTCGCAACTTACGTCTGCGGATTGCATCAACGCGTTTGGCGCCAAATGTTATTTTGGTCTCGAATGAACGCGAGAATCTGTGACACCCTAACGTCATTGGCAACGGATGCCTTAACGACCGTGAAGAAAGGGATCGAAAGCCCTACTGACAAGCACAGATTTTAGTTTTGCTACAATAACAGCCGTTTTAGTGTTAAAATGCAATAGAATATATTTCCATGCGTTATTTACAATGCATTTCTTGCACAATTTTGAATCTTAAAGGAAGATTTATTATTGCTTTAAGTTTCTTACAGTTTATGCATTGTTGTGAATTCAGTTTGTTTTTATTATCATAAATCACGACCGATGACATATTGTTTACTAGGCTTTGTCAAGTGTCATGTGATACGAGGGGGGGGGGGGGGTGTTCCTGGTCTTGTGCAGGTTTCATACATAAATAGTTCTATACACACTCACTACATTGATTTACCTTTTTCAGTTGCCCAGTGTAATACCCCAACAGGGACCCAAACCGTATAACAGCCCCGCCTTCACGATAGAACAACTACGATATACGACAAACAGG